CTAATTGTCTGTACACTACGTATTTTAAAGGTTTATACACAAATTTAGCAAAACCCTTACATGCAAAGTTCTTGAGCTACTTCGAGAATTTTTAATACACCAATGGTGATGGTTTAGCTGCCAAATGAAAACGTTTTCGTACTTTTAGAGAACAAGCGATTGGAGACCGTTGTTTGATCGAGAGTCGGACGAGATACAATCGTTGCAAGCACCTACCGTATCTTATCCTGAGGTAGGGACTTTCTATAATAGAATGGAGCTAAAAATACTAGTCACGCTTTTCCCAGGTTTCCGAAGATGCACTCGTTGAGCTGCGATCATCTATAGAACGCGAGATTAAATTACGTTTTGATGAGGCTAGGAAGTTCGGCATACCACAATGGAATCTGATGGCATCAAGGTAAGTAACCGTCTACCTTTTTCCTTCCTCCGGCCCCTGTCCCGGTCCATTGGTTACTCAATCAGTCAAAAATTGGAATTCTTTAAGACTACTTCGTGAAATCTTACAAGAGGAAAATGGCTCTGTAGACGCAAAACTTGCACGGCTACGAGAATCGTACACAGTTACCATAACTGCAGTCTCGATGCCCTATAGAAATGTACAGGTATGCGCTCATTTGCTACTCAAACTCGATCAATAATCGATTGGTAACTATCTAGGACTGTGTTGCTGCAGTGTTACGATGTGACCTACATACTACGACATCGTCCTCGTCACAGTTTGCTCTAGCTGTTCATCTTCAACCCGCATTTGGTCATGTAATTGGCTGCAACGTAGCTATTGCTTTGCTCACACTTCGCATGTAATCAATATATCGATTTTCTCAAATTCTATCTCGTATATGTAGATAAGGCCACATAAAGCTTTGTTTTCAATGTATTTGCTTAATTTAGTTGTTGCGTTTTGATGATTCAATAAGAATGTTGACTTCGTTTAGATTGTCGGCCCCAAGAACCTAAGGTTCAAGCTTTTACTGCATTATCCCTCCACTTATACAACAAAATCATTTATTGACAAATT